GGGAGGAACGTCTTAGTGTTGATTCTACTTTGAAGTTTGAATCAACTCGAGTGGTTGTTGTATTTGTTTGCTGTAAAAAAAATGAATTATGATAAATTTTATTGGTACATAGCCACAGCACAATGAGATTTGGATGTGTTTTAGTTTCCAATTAGGTAGTTAAAGTTACGAGATTCATATTTATTGTATTGCATCTATTCCATAAGCTATAAGTTCCTCATTCTTTTGGTTATTTTAATGATTTGTTGAATGAAACTTTTGTCGTATTACAAGTTTATTTTGAATATGATTTTATACATTTTTAGTACATTTATAAGACAATGTCTCGTCATTAACAGGGAGGATTTGGCATCAAGTGTGAGTTTTGTTATGAATTCTTTGATTTTGTGTTCTTTGTTAATTAATTTTTATTCTCATCAAGTGATGCTAATGGACACTCATTTTCTTACTCATGAAATCTTATAGGTGATATTCTTGCACGTTAATCTATTTTTTCAATGGATAAGTCTTGGATTGGAATGCCAAGAAACACATCGGAGTATTTGCTTGGTTTGAATCAATTTCTAGATTTTGCATTTAACAATGGAGCTATAGGAGATAAAATTAAATGTCCATGTCCTAAATGTGGTTTTGGAAAGTGGCAAACTAGAAATATAGTGTTTGACCATTTGATCAACAAGCCGTTGCCAAAGAATTATGTCACTTGGGTTATGCATGGAGAAATAAATGTGTTTCCTAATTCGAGAAACATATAGACCACTCAGGCTACACCACCCATAGAAAATCCAATAGAATTATTGGTTAATGAAGCATTCGGGGGCTTAAGGCATGAGGGTGTTGATGTAGGTCCATCACCGGTAGTGGAAGAAGAAGAAACATTACATGATACGCCTGCTTTAAATAAGAAAAAATTATTTGAGTTGCTTGAAGATGGAAGTCAAGAATTGTATGAAGGCTCCAAGTACTCAAAGTTAGAATTTTTGTTAAAGCTTTATCACATTAAGTGTTTGTCTGGATTAAGTGATAAGGGAATGACTATGATCCTAGATCTACTTCGGGATGCATTTAAATTTGCAAAGATCCCTGATTCTTTTTATGAGGCCAAGAAAACCATAAATAAGTTGAGTCTTGATTATATCAAAATAGATGCTTGTCCAAATGATTGCATGTTGTATTGGGAAGATGATGTTAACGCCGAGACATGTAAGTATTGTCACACTTCTAGATGGAAGCCAGAGAAGAAGAGCAATACAGATCATACACTGACCACAAGTAAGAAGAAAAAGAAGAAGCAAAAGAAGAACCCTGCAAAAATTTTGCGATACTTTCCCTTAAAACCAAGATTGCAAAGATTGTTCATGTGTTCTAAAATTGCAGAGCATATGAGATGGCATGCAAAGGATGATAACAAAGATGGAACCCTACGACATCCTAGAGATGGTGAGGCGTGGAAGAAGTTTGTTACAACTTTTCCTGAATTTTCTTCTGATCCTCGAAATGTCCGATTAGGCCTAGCTAGTGATGGTTTCAATCCTTTTGGGACAATGAGTACTAGTCATAGCATTTGGCCTGTTATTTTGGTTCCATACAACCTTCCTCCACGGTTGTGTATGAAACAACCAAATTTTATCCTCTCAATGATTATTCCAGGTCCACGTGCACCAGGAAATAACATAGATGTATACCTCCAACCCCTTATTAAGGAGTTGAAAGAGTTGTGAAGTGATGGTGTTGACACTTTTGACTCATCAAAGAATGAAATGTTTAGAATGCGAGCGGCTCTTATGTGGACAGTTAGTGACTTTCCTGGACTTGATAGCTTATCTGGTTGGAACACACATACTGGTCTTGCATGTCCCTCATGTAATTTTGACGCAGAACCTTGTCGACTTCCTCATAGTAGAAAGTGGTGTTTTATTGGCCATCGTCGATTTTTGTCTAGAAATCACAAATTTAGAATGATGAGGCATCGTTTTGATGGAACCGTGGAAGAGAGGACCCCTCCAAAGAAGTTATCAGGATCAGATATTTTTCAACAAGTGAGAGATATCAATGTCACATTTGGAAGACCAACAGAGTTGAATCGTAATAGAAAACGAAACAAGCAAAGAAATAATGATGAAGGTGGAACTCAACAATGGAGAAAAAAAAGCATCTTCTTTGATCTTCCATATTGGGAGTCTAATTTGTTGCGCCACAATTTAGATGTTATGCATATTGAAAAGAATGTGTTTGACAACATCATATATACCTTGCTAAATGATAAAGAAAAATCAAAGGATCATATTAAGGCTCGAAAAGATCTACAAGACATGGGTATATGGCGTGATCTATGGCCGGATGAGAATGGTGAATGTCGGCTTGGTGCATTTACAATTCCAAAGAAGAAGAAATTGGCCTTCCTCAAGACTTTAAAGAATATCTTAGTGCCAGATGGTTATGCAAGTAATATATCTCGTTGCATTGATTTGGATAAAAAAGAATATTTGGATTAAAGAGTCATGATTGTCATATCCTCATGCAACAGTTGTTACCGATAGCAATTCGCAATGTTCTTCCAAATCAGGTCGTTGCAACTCTGGTAGAGTTTTCTTCCTTTTTTAGGCAGCTTTGTATGAAGATCTTAACCATTTCTGACCTAGAAAAGCTACAAAATCGAATTGTAGAAACCTTGAGTCATCTAGAGATAGTGTTTCCCCCTTCATTTTTTACTGTAATGATTCATCTGACTGTCCATCTAGTTGATGAAGTAAAACAAGGTGGGCCTGTACATTATCGCTGGATGTATTTTGTTGAAAGGTAAAAAAATTCTTATTCAAAATTATTGAATTGAATCTGGAATAGAATTTAAATTTAAATAAGTTTTCTAACACTTCATTATCTTGATCATAGATTGTTAGGTCATTTTAAGTCTCTCGTACGGAACAAATCTCAATCAGAAGGCTCAATAGCTGAGGGGCATAAGGTTGAAGAAGTTCTAACTCTTTACTCTCGTTATTTTGACGAAATTAAGTCAAGGTTGAATCGACCTAAACGTGTAAACGATGAACCAAATCAAAATGAAGCTTCTGAAAAGTCATCTATGTTTCCACAACAAGGTAAACCTGTTGGAGGCTCCACAACAGAACCATTGACTACTTTAGAGAAAACTCAAGCTCATCAATATGTGTTACTTAATTGCGCAGCAGTGAAGCCATTCATTGAGTATGAAATTTAAACTGATTTTGATTTTTACGAAATGTATAGAATAATCAGGTAAAAATTTAATATATGTAACAATTTTGTAGTGAATTCAGACAGCACATCAAAAGAAGTACAAGAGGTCGAAGAGTTTCAACAACAGAGGTAGAGAAGAGAGTTAGTAAAGAGTTTCCTGATTGGTTTCCTAATCGAGTGAGTAAATAATTTTAGAATGTTTGTTTTGAACATATTTATTTGTCAATTTAGTATCTCTGACATATATATTATGTTTGTTTAGATTATGAACCCAGATATCGCAGAAACTATCTCTGATGATATGAAGTTTTTAGCACAAGGTCCTGCACAAGATGCAAGAAGATTTAGTGCTTATAACATTAATGGATTCAAATTTCAAACTTTATCTAGAGAACAAGGATCAAAAACTCAAAATAGTGGAGTTTTTCTTATCTCTGACACTTCTTGTATTGCGTCTAGTGTAGATAGGTGTGCAAGACAAGCGGACCTGCCATATTATGGAAAGTTAGAAGAGATTATCGAGCTTAATTATTACGGCAGGTTCAAAGTTATTCTTTTCAAGTGTCTATGGGCTGATACTACTCGAAATAGAGGGTACAAAACATATGCTTGGAAGTTTAACTGTGTCAATTTTTCTAAATTGATTCACACTGGTGATCGCGAGGATCATGATCCATATATTGAAGCATCACAAGCAAATATGGTCTACTATGTTGATGATGAGACTGATAAAGAATGGAGTGTCGTTGTACATCTAAAGCCAAGAGATTTGTTTGAAATGGGAGAGGTTGATGAAGAAGATCTGTACGAGAATGAGCCATACCAACAACAAGAATTTGGACAATTTTTTGATGATGACTACGAGAATATCCAAATTGCAATAGATGAGAATATGAATGAATGAAATTGCAAAGATTTGGACAATATTTTGCATTTTGAGCTGTTTTTTAAGAAGTTTTTAGTTGTTGGCTCTTCTCTTTTTAGTTTCTTGTATTATGTGTTTGACGCTGCAATTTCTGCAATATTTTAGTAGCTGTTTTTTCTACTTTTAGCTGCTGTTATTTTGTGTTTGAAACTGTAGTGTTTACAGTTTTTGGCTACTATTTTGTTTCTTTTTGGTGCTGAATTTTTGTGTTTAAAGTTGTTTCTATTGTGATTTATCTTCTGAAGAGGATCTTTTAGTTTCAGGTGCTTATTTTTTATAATGTAGTATTTGCAGGTTATTAGTTGCTGATTTTGTGAGTTTTAAGCTGTTGTTTCTACATATTTTTGGTTGCTGTTTTTTTAGTTTCAGGTGCTTATTTTTTATGGTTAAGATGTAGTATTTGCAGGTTATTAGTTGCTGATTTTGTGATTTTTAAGCTGCTGTTTCTGCAGATTTTTTGTTCCTATTTTTTTAGTTTCAGGTGCTTATTTTTTATGGTTAAGATGTAGTATTTGCAGGTTATTAGTTGCTGTTTTTTGGCGTTTTAAGCTGCTGTTTGTGCAGATTTTTTATTGCTGTTTTTGCAGTTATTAGCTACTATTTTGTTGCTTTTAGGTGCTGAATTTTTGTGTTTTAAGTTGTTGTTTCTACTGTGATTTATCTACTACTTTTTCAATTTTTAGTTGCTGATTTTGTGAGTTTTAAGCTGCTGTTTCTGCAGATTTTTGGTTGCTGTTTTTTTTAGTTTCAGGGGATTAAGATGAAGTTTTAAGCTGTTGTTTTTGGCTGAATCTTTTTTAACTTCTTATGAAACTAATTGATTCATGCTACAGGATTTGAAATATATTGAATTGCCAGCATGCCAAAGTTCAAGCGTTTACAGAAAAAACAAAACTCAAATCAATTAGTATCTGATTCTCAAGGTGCGGAATCAACACATTCATTTCTCCAATCAACATCATGTCTGCCACCACATCAGACCACATCATTTCTGGCCACAACACATTCAGTCCCACTATTTCAGCCGACATTGCAGGCGCCTCTAATATTTCAGCCTGCATCACAGTCATCTCAATCAGTTGACTCGGCATCACATTCAGCTACGATGAATCAACTTATGTCACAACTGGCTCCGACAGCTTATCCTACATCACAACCATCTCATTTAGTTCACTCGACATCACATCCAGCTTCAACAGAACAAGACTCGTCACAACAAGTTCCAACAGTTCAAGCTCCATTCAAAAAGCGTATTGGGCGTGAATCACAGTCATATTGGACTGTAGAAGCAATAGGTAAATAATTTTGAGTAGCAGCGCATATTCAATAACCATTATTTGTTTCTCTCATAGCTTCAACTTATCTTTGTTTTTATTGCAGATTCAGAAAACAATGTCAAAAGGCTCAAAGTAAAAAAAACAGATGTGCTTAATTTATCAGGTGATGAACTTATTGTGATTAATTTTGATTACCTGAATGAACCATTTGGAGAGACTCGTAGCCTTCTTTCAGGCTTTTGTGGAATTTTAGCATGTGATTGCTCTTTATTTCCAATCAACTTTGAGAAGTGGTCGAGTGTGCCTATGTCATACTTAAATCGTGTCTTCGATCAAATTATAAAGGTATAAGCTTACAACTAGACTCTTACTCTATTTTACTTTTTGGTGAGAAAGATAATTGGTAATTTCAATATTATATTTACAACCAATAGATAAGCTAACTAATATTTTTTTTCTTGAAGCCCAAGTTCTCCTTTAAGACAACAGAGTCAAATGCGCGGCAACATATTTATAAATCTATTGGAAAGAAGTGGGCTGCAAATAAGAACAACTTGTGGAAGTTAGTTGAAGACCCACTTAAAAGTAAGGTTGAGATTATTGATAATGTGCCAGATGGAATTCCACGAGATCAATGGATTTCTTTTGTTGATTACCAATATAAAGATTCAACAAAGGTACTTATGTTACTGTTTTTACTAGTCTTTATTATCATGTAACTATTTGATTTTTTTAATTAAGTTTTGTATATTTTTTATAAGGAAATGCGTAGAAGAAATACTGAAAATCGGAAAAAACAGACAATTCCACACACAGGTGGCTCCAAAGCGAATGCTACGAGAAGGGCAGAAATGGTGATTAGTAAATTAACTTATTATGTATTCATTTTTGAGTAGTAAACTATTCTTATTTGGATATTTTATTTGTAGATGGCTGAAACAGGACAAAGACCTGGACGAGCACAAATATATATTGCTACTCATAAAAATAAAGATGGAGTATATGTTAATGAAGCTGCAAAAGAAATATGTGTAAGTTTCTTCATGAATTCTAATTGTATTTCAACAAGATAAAAAAAAAAAAAAATAGGGCAATAGTTGTGAACTAGTTGATTAATTGATGGAGGTTATATAGACTCAATCCTTTGCTATTTAATTGTATTATGATGGCTTGTGGTCCCGTACCTCTAACTACTCATGTTCTTACGTGTACATATAAGTAGTTTTTATCTTTCTGTCTTTACTAAGGTGATTCCAATATTATTGCTTGTTTATTTGCGGCATTGATTTTGTATGTATAGGAAAAAATTGAGCTAACTTTGAGCCAAAGTACCATGGATGAGTCTCAAATTTTGCCAAATGATGCTGTTGGTAAGGTTTTAGGAAAAGAGCACTCTGGAAGGGTTAGATGTTTGGGATTAGGAGTTGTCCCAAGTAAAGTTTTTAAACAAGTAAGACCGCGTTTTGGTGGTGCAAGTACTTCAAGTAGTGAAGGCTCATGTTCGTCCCAATGGCAAGAAAACCACAATCAATGATGAATGCTCATAATCAAATGATGAATGCTTTTAAGGCGTATATGATAATGAAAGAAGGGATGATACCAGAACAATTTGCGGGGTTCTTTGCTTCTCCTTCGACAAATTCTTCTACAACAACTGTAAGTAATGTTCTTACATTTCTATTTTCATTTGATTTGTATATTGCTTCTCCTTTCTTTAATGCATTTTTTGTTGACATATATTAACTGATGATAAGTATAGTTTGAAACATAATATTGGCCAAGGATTTTACATTTTTTCATATCACTTAATTAATTTTATACTTTATTTTTTTATGTAGCCAAGTGATGCTGCTAGTGAACCAATTCCGCCTGTGCACACAAAAAGATCAAGCAGTGGTGATAGTAATCCTAGCCATGACAACCGTTGATTATATTGTAGTGAACCAATTCCGCCTATATTCTTAGCTAATTAATTTGATGACAAGATTGTGTGATTGGAGGGGATGTTAAAATGTTGGATTGGATATTTTGTGTTTAGATTTAGTGTTTGATTTTGATGAACATATTTGATGTTGACAATATCATTTTAGCGACTAATGATAATGCAATATTTTTGTGACTTTATGATATGCCATTAAAGAATATATATTTCTTCACCTTGAGACATATTTTGGATTTGATTATGGTCTATAGCTTAATTAGTGATTCTATAAATAATATATGAATAAAAGTATATTGAATGAATTGTAGAGCTTATGCAATTGCTCAGATCTTTCAATATAAGCAATTGCAAAATTGTGGAGGTTTTAAACCCCCGCTATTTGTAACTAAAAAAATAATATCAAAAGATTTAATTTTAAATTAGCGTGGGTCGACCTCCGCAAAGTAACCCCCGCTAATTGATTGTGGGGGTCAAAGAAAAACTGCCGCAAATTGCTTGCGACAACTCTTATTGTGGGAGTTTTTACAACTGCCGCAATACTAGATTGCGGGGGTTTTAAACCCCCACAAACCTTAAAATTAGCCCCCGCTATTTAAGCATTTTTTTGTAGTGTACTACCATCATTTTTCTTAACAAACAAAACTGGAACACCCCATGGGGAAGCACTAGGACGAATAAATCTATTATAAAAAAGATCTTGGATTTGAGCCTTAAGCTCTCTTAATTCTGCCAGAGCCATGCAATATGGAGGGATAGAAATGGGACGCGTACCATGCTCTAAATCAATGCAAAAATCTATATCTCTATCTGAAGGCATACTAGACAAATCATTAGGAAACACTTCTATAAATTGTGACACCACAGGAATAGACCCAATGGATGGAGCCTCAATCTTAACATCCCTAATATGAGCCAACTAAGCCAAACAACCCTGCCCTATCAACTTCTTAGCCCGAATGGAGGACATGATCTTAATTCGCTTAGGCTTGTACACCCCTTCCCACTCTAATTTTTCCCTTCCCAGAATTTATAGAGTTACAGACTTAGTATTACAATTAAGTATGACATAATAGGGGGACAACCAAGTCATACCTAAGATGATGTCAAAGTCAGTCATATCTAAAATCACCAAATCAGTCCAAGTTTGAAAACCCATAAACAAAATAGGACAAGTACGATAGACATGGGTAACTATGACTGACTCTCCAACTGGGGTAGAAACATGGATATAGGCATCAAGTATATCATAAATCATATCAAACTCTGAGGCAAATCGTACATATACATATGAATAAGTAGAACCCGGATCAAATAACAAATTAGCCATTTGGTCACAAACATGAATAGTACATGTGATCACCGCATTAGACGTCTCTGCCTCATTCTTGCCCGGAAAGGCATAACATTGATCCCTATCATCTTGACGAACCACTTCCCTGCCTGGTTAAACATTACCTCTGCCTGCATTACCATTTCCTCTACCTCCACGGCCTCACTGATTACCTCATCACCCACCTTATGAACGCCTTCGACCATTATTAACATTCCCCGCGGGTACCACTGCTCTAGACTGCTACTGCGCAGAATCTAACACACGTGGGTGGGGACAATCTCTCCTCATATGCCCAAGTTTTCCACAGTTGTAACAAGTACAATCAAAGATGGTTTGCCACCCGTTGAAGGTGCGACTTCCTGGCTATCCTGAAAATTATGAGATGGAGTTTCCGAATAACTACCTGTAGAGGTGGGCATAGCGGACTGAATTGGCTTGGCTACAAACGTTGGCCTTCCGAACCCCTTGAAATAAGAACCTTGAAAGTTATCCGAGTTCTTGGCCCTTTTTGCCCATACCTTAGCTTGACCGTCTCGCCTTACCCCCTCCACTTTCTTAACATAGTATGTGACCTCATTAAAGCTCCTCCCAGCAGAAGTCATATGAACAGATAATACTTGTAACTCAGAATTTAGCCCCCTAATAAATAACTGGATTCTCTCTTCCTCAGTCGTCACCAATTGAGTAGCATATCTAGACAAAGCATGGAACTTGGCCTCATAAGCAGCCACAATCATACCACCTTGCTCCAAAGCCATGAACTCATTCTTCTTGCGATCCCTCAAGGTCCTAGGCACATACTTCTCTAGAAACAGAGCATGAAATTGGGTCCAAGTAAGTGGAGGTAAAGTAGATGATCTGCATTCCATATAAGCTCTCCACCACTACTTAGCCTCACCTTGAAGTTGGAAAGACACAAACTCAACCCCATGTTGATGAACAATACCTAGTTTATGAAGCCTCTCATAGCAATCCAGATGAACTCATAGGCATCCTCATTCTCAGAACCAAGAAACACAAGAGGCTTTAGCTATAGAAACTTAGTCAACATTTCATGCTCATTACCAGTCATAACAGAACCCAACAAATGATGGAAGAAAACATCATTACCTCCAGTCCCACCCACCTTGGGCACAGTGCTAGCAACAAGAGGATTAGTAGGAGCTTGAGTTGCTTGAACAGAAGGAAGAACTCCAGGACCAACCAACCCTTTCAAGAATGACATGATCTGTCGAGCTAGCACTGGGTCTATGGGGGGGACATCGATAGTCCCAGCCTGCACATCTTCCTCTTGTCCCACATCCTCAATATCTTTAACATCAACATTCTCCTCAGGCACTACTCTTCCACGACTTCTATCCCTGCCTCGACCGCGACCTCTCGCTGCAGATTGCTCAACCGGAGCATTGACGGGAGCTACGGGCCTTATGCCATTGAATCTAGTATTAACCATCTGCGGACAGAAGAGTGAAGGAGGTTAGATACCAATTTGAATCGCCATATACCAATTGGAATCAAGTCATAGCACAAAAGGAGACAAGGGAAAATAGAGAGATTTCCTAAAGTCCTATAGCCTCTCGAAGAAAATTAAAGAAGTCCCCGTACCGTTCTGCAAGACTCTACTAGACTCGTTTTGGTATATCGAGATCAACAAATCTAGGCTCTGATACCAACTTTGTCACGACCCAAACAGTCGTGATTGATATCCACACTAACTCTCCGGTGGGAGAACCACTACTACAACTCAAACCAAGCAACTAAACCAAAACTAAGGCATTTAAGTTACGGAGGCAAGTTAAATGCTAAGGAAATAAATAGAGTTCCTATAAACTCTAACAAAAGTCTAACAATAATGAACTAACAATGCGGAAGAAATAACCTAGAACGTGAAAGTCAATGTACCAAAACATCTAACAATGAACCAAGTCTAAACAAGAAGGAATGCAACCTCGATCTAATGAACTAATCAACTAACTAAAACATAGTCTAAGTCCGAAAATGGTGGACATAGACGAAGGAGAATTCCATGGCCGTCCGGAAGAATTGGCTCACCCTTGAATTCGAACGATCACTGATCTCCTAAGCAAGGCCTGTCAGTAGCCACTTGAAGATGCCCTGTACTCAACAAAAATAAGAACAAGTGCAGTATCAGTACACAACCACAGTGTACTGGTAGGATCACGCGGCTATCCCACTAAGTGCAACATAAGCAAGTCAAGACAACATTATAATCACATTCATATATATTAACATATACAATATTATTAACATTTATGAACAACGAACAACTTCACATTTTATATCAAATCATTGGTCCTCTCATGGAACCCAAACCCAAACAGTTAGAATACCGAAACGTGGTATCCGATCCCATAATTATGCCGAAACGTGGCAACCGATCCCATAGTTATGCCCGAACGTGGCAACCGATCCAAGTTAGTTATACCAGAACGTGGCAACCGATCCATTCAACACACCACAATCACAATCACAAGTATATCATCAAGATTATACATTTAATCATGATTTCATGACAATCATCATTCATCTATCTCACTTACAACAAGTGTGATCAACATTGCAACATTCATACATATACAAGTATCATAATGAAGCAAGAACAAACATACATCACACAATCATAGAATCACAACCATCACCTACCTCGAAACAAGCTTGAAACCCTAAGAAACTTGATCTTTGCCTTTCCGAATTCGTTCCGCTTGTTCTTGGTCTACAAACAATCAATATAATATGGGAATCAATAAATAATCACTAATTACCCGAATTACTAACAATTATATGTACCCTAGATCAAACCCATGATCTCAATTATCCAAATTAGGGTTTTTTCAACCATAGAATCTATAACAAAACTCTCCCCCATCAATATTCACCCATTCTATTACGTTCTACGGATTGAAAAATGGATTCGGGGAGTGAAAGCTTACCTTTAGCCTCAAGAATGGTGAAAAACGAGTAGGCGTCGCCTGGGGTTCGTTCCTTAGCTCTAAAAGTCAAAAAGTGCATAATGAGGTCGTTTAGGGGTTTATTAACGACTTTAATTCATGTCGAGCCCGCCACAGCGGCCGTCACCCCGCTGTAGCGGCAAAAAACGGCACCAATGTGGGTTACGCGAGACAAAGAGCTATTCAAGAATTCCAAAATTCCCATTTCACAATACACCTCTAACCAACGACGCTCAGAAAATACCCTTTATGCCAATATCGATTTCGGGAGTTCTACTCACCCAAATTCA